GTTGAGGGGAAGAGTGTCGCGCGGCGCCGGTGCCAGTGCGCAAGCGCAAAAGGACCCAACGTCGGAGGATGCGCCCTGCGGCCGGAATTCTATCCTCCAAGTCGCCGCGACGTTTACGTAGAGATTATGGCGCCACCTACTGACACACGTGCTCATTTTCCTCTCCCTGCCCTTTGGCAGAAGCGATATCCTCTCGGAGCGGGAAGGACGCATGCGCAATAGTAACAAGTGACGCCAAAGCTTTGCCCTTCGCATTCCCCAGCCCCTTTTCCCACTTTGCAGCGAGTGGGCCGGCGAGAAAAGAGCATGCGCAGAAATATACGAAGCAGGGACGCGACTGTTAGGTGGAGACGCATGGTGAGGTTATGCGCATGCGCTGTGATCGCTTATAAAACGGTTTTAAAGAGGGGATTAAGAGTCTTAAAGTATAAATTGAATTTAAAAATATGAATCTGAATGTATACGAAGAATCATGTGCATAGGCATAATTTTAGGTGCTTCATTAATCATGTGGCGCCTGGACGGAAAATCTGGACATAAATGTACGCATTAAAATGAGTAATTTCATGCAAAATTAGTATTTCACTGTGAAATTAAATTAGCATCAGATAATTCAATTAAAATGTTAATATTAATCTAGGACTGTATTTTTAATACTGAGATGTCTTGCATTTGGGCATTCATATGTGCTCTAATAAGGTACAGTATTATGATTTGCTGCGCTTTGTTTCCATGTTTAAAACTACCAAACCTTAGGCTTTTAAATATACATAATAGTTTAAAATGCCGGAATATGGCCTGCACAGTTTCTATGATTCACCCACTTGTGAACTTATAGTAACAAAATTATTTTGTTTTTAACCTTCCTTTTTTAAATAGGGCAACACACGCCAACACAAGGGGATTTGGAAGAGAAGATCATTGAAGGAGGCGTCTTCTTAGTAAGCGCACTTCGCCTTGCAAGTTCCGTCCACATCCGGCTCTTCCCCCATGTTTCAAGGCGTCCTGCATAACCCGCCTTTCCTTCTGCACTTGATCCGCTCAACCCTCCTGGCAGGCAGAACCTGCCCCACTGTGAAGACGGTCGTCTCCTAGGGTGGGGTGATGGGGAGGGGTAGGAAAATGGGTGCTCGGGGCAGGTGGCTAGAGCAGGGGACAATCCCCCCCCCGGGCTGGGAAGGCCCACACCGCTATCCAAGAAAGACAGGATGGAGCGTGGGGTGTGGCCCTCCTCCCAGTCCCCGGATGCCACATGGATGTGGCAGCAGTGGTGCCTCTTGGCCACCCTTGGAGGAAAGGAGGAAGGGAAGGCTTCGAGCCATACTTGCTCAGAGGGAAAGGTCACCCAAGTTTACACAGCTCCGTGAAATTGTTGTTTTTTTCTTAAAAAGGAAAATGTAACTTTATTTTCCATTCAACCACTGTTTATAAAAGGACCACTAAAGTGCCCAGTTCTGAAATGTGACACAGTCGGCAGGGGCATTCCACTCTTTAGGAAGATACTCTCAGTGTTAACCTTTGTAACTTTGGGAAACTTTTAGACAAGGCTATTTGAACTGCCCTGAGTTGAAAGGGACTTGAAACACTATGCGGAATCCCATCCTGACAGCATCATTTGGGGAACTGCTGGATAGCTCCCTGGTTTAGACCTCTGGCCGTGGAGCCAGTTGGGAGTTCGATTCCCCACTTGTGCCTCCCTGACGGGCTGGACTCGACAATCCATAAGGTCCCTTTCCAGCTGTGCAGTTCTGAGTTGTTGTTGTTGTTATCTTCTGCATGCCTTCTCTGAAGCAAGGTCGATTGCAAATAAAAAAGCGTTTTCCCCAGGTTCATGAGTTTTTAAGACTGATTCGGGACCTCCATTTTGCTTTTAGGATTCAAAGCTTTAAGGCGTAAAAGGACAATGTCAATCCTCACAATACAACTTGGCCAGTGCGGTAACCAGATTGGGCGGGAAGTGTTCGATACCATTTGCACTGATCTGCACAGAACAGATGGGGTTTGCTCTAAAACGGAAAACCGTTCCTACCAAGCAGCCTCTGCAGAGCGGTTCTTCGATGAGGAGGCAACCGGAGGTATGAGAGTGATTGTCTTCCTCTCCTGGCAAAAGAAGGAATCTGCAGCCAGTGATCTTTGCTTTGAGTCGGTGTACTTGAATTTTGCCTGGGGGCTGCTCCGAGTTAGACCCCAGTGTAAATCCCACTGAGTTGAAACTGGGACGATCTCCCCAAGAAGTGCATAACAGGGATGGAGCCTGAGCAGCACGCAAGAAGCCGAGGAGGGTCGGTCGGATGGACCTGTTAAAAGTTTCAGACCCAGACTTGAGTTCAAATTTCACTTGAACCACGGAATGAACTGGGTGACCTTGGACCAGACCCCCCCCTTGTCAGGCTAACTCAGGTGGTTGTGAGAATCACATGGGGAAGAAGACAAATGCAGGCAGCATCTTGAAAGGCAGGTTAAAAACCAACCAACCAAAAAAAAAAACTGGTTTTAGGAAAGGCCTCTCTCGGGTTTGTTTAATTATCTGACAAAAGCACAGTGGTAGATAACTGCCGTCCTTTCCATCTGAGGAACCAAAGGTCGGGAGTTCGATTCCCCCCTCCACTGGACCTTCTGCGAGTAGAACCAGCCTGGTTAGCCCTGGGTCAGCTGCAAAACCCCGGAGTGGCCTCAAAAGAAAGGAATGATACATACACTGCTTCTGAGTCTTCTCTACTTGGAGAACTCTAAAAAGGGTCACCATAAGTCCAAACTGACCTGATGGCACATTATCATCATCATTATCCTCTATTTTCTCTCCCCCGCCCCATACTTCTTTTTAAAGTATATAATATCATTTAGCTTTTTTTCCCTCCTTTTTCTTCTTCTCCTTTAGCTCTGACTGCTCGGGCCGTCCTTGTCGATATGGAGCCTAAAGTGATAGGCCAGACCTTATCCAAAGGATCCCGGTCTGGTGGCTGGAAATACGACCGTCAGTCCCATTTCTGTCAGAAGCAGGGTTCGGGGAACAACTGGGCGAACGGGTATGGAGGGTTGTATGTCCGGTGCCAACAAAATTGCTGTTTTTCTCTGCTTCTCTGATGAATAGCCCACCGGTAGACCCAAGAAAAAGAGCCCCCGGATATTAAGCAGAGCAGGGCACCTTCAAATAGCCATCGGCTCCGACTTCCATCATGCTTTACCTCTTTCCATGGTGGCTGGGCCTTATTTATTTATGTCGCAGAGGTAATGTGACAAATGAGGAGGCGGCAAGCCACGTAAGCTGCCTTAAATCCACTTGGAAGGAAAACTGGGTGCATGTCACTTGAACTAAGAAATAAAATAATAGTATTGTTCCTCTTCATCATCAGGTTTGGGGATTTGTAGCACAGTCTGTCCTAATTGTACACAAAAAAACACCAATGACTGGGGGGGGAGGGTTTAAAGCTTGAATCTCAGGATCTCAGGGCAGGTGACAGAGCCATTTAGAAACATAACGTCCCTAACATAAATGAACCAGTTTAAAGCACATGAAGTTAAAACATTAGAACGACAGCAGTTTATGTCACTAAGGCCACTGTGGTGGTTATTAGTTTTAGTTTTGTTTCAGGGTTGCTTTTTTAAATAACGGAACGGTTCTTTTCCCGTCGTCTCTCATCCCGGCTTCTGCCGCAGGTACTGCGTTCACGGCCCCAGACACAAAGAGACAGTCATGGATTTGGTCCGAAAGGAGGCCGAGAAGTGTGACCGCCTGAGTGGATTTCTCACCATCATGAGCATGGCAGGCGGGACCGGATCGGGCCTGGGGGCCTTTGTGACAGCGAGCTTGAGGGACGCCTACCCCACCTCCTTCCTGCTAAACCACGTGATCTGGCCCTATGGAACTGGTGAGGTAAAGTTTCGGAGACCAGTCAAGGAAACGGTGGTGGATCAGTCATATCCTCTGCCTCACCCTGGATTCTGTTGCCATAGGTAAGGGGTTCCCACTCTGGGACCAACGCTCCCAGAAGCCTTCACCACTAGCTGTGCTGGCCAGGGTTTCTGGGAGTTGGAGTCCAAGAACCTCTGGCGACCCTTAACATAGGTGATTAAGCAGGTCCTTCAGAAAAGCGCAGAAGCCGAAATGTAAACTAGCACCTTCTTGCTTTTCTCTTCCTGCACACGGCCTCTGACAGTGCAGATAATATAGATCCTTTACGATGGGTTGGCATTATACAGCGAGGATGATAGGGATTGAATTTGGTACCCCCAGCATACCAAGGATACACGCCTTCAAGGAGCTACGGATGGAGAACCTCAAGGGGTGGGTGAACAGTAATGTAGAATGAAGGCCTGCCCGCTTTTATGAGCCCACTGCAGCTTTCTGGATCTTTCTGGATGCTCTATGCAGAGCCTGGAAGTGTCTGCCATGCTGGCTGGGTGATCCTGAGAGTTGTCATGGACGTCCTCCAGACGTCTTGTTCTACCTCTGAGTTCTGGCCCTTCCCCAAAGAGAGTTTACACCTTCTCATAGAATTATGTGCCTAAGAAATCTTTTAACAGGTAGAGCAATCATCTTTAAAACGAAGCTATTGGTTGCTCCTTGAATTCGATTTCTTGCCCCCCTTTCCAGGTGATTGTTCAAAATTACAACTCGGTCCTGACCCTGTCACATCTATATCAGTCTTCGGATGCCCTCCTGGTTCACGAGAATGACGCCATCCACAAGATCTGCACCCAGTTAATGAACCTCAAGCAGACCTCTTTCTGGGATGTAAATCGAGTCATCGCTCATCAGCTGGGGAGCGTCTTCCAGCCGGCTTATCCCTCCGAAGGAGCTGCTCAGTACAGCAGAAGCCCCCTTGGTACATCATGTGAACTTGAATACTTGGCTGCTCTTCCCAGTTGACATCACAGCATCTGAACAAGTTGTTCAGATCTATTCTCATGTTCATGTATTAATTTTCAAAGTGATTTCCATATTTGTCTGTCTGGGATTGAAATCCTGTTACGTAGCGCTGCCTGGCTCATGAGAATGATGTCAGCAGTGGAAGAGCCTGCTGATTAACATCTTGGTTCTGTGATGTTGTGGTGTATACGATTTGTACATAAATCATATACACCGCATAATTGTTTTTTTTTAAAAAAAGAACCACTTACTGCTGCTGCTAGAGATGGCGTTATTCCCATTATGTAGGTGGACTCGACTCGATAGGATTTTGGCTTCAGTATTATAAAGAGAAAGGAAGTTCTATGGCACCTTTGTGATTAGCCCCTTTGTGTGTTTCTATGGTTTACCATCTCTTCCCTCCCCCCCCCCATTGTGTTATTCTCACACCCTTCTTGTTCCTTCTCTCTCAGGGGATCTAATGGAAGCGCTGGTGCCCCATCCCGAGTTCAAGATGCTAGGTCTGCGTAACATTCCCCAAATGTCCGAAAGCTCGCTTCCCTTTAGCACCTTTGCGTGGCCTGGCCTTCTGCGACACCTGCGGCAGATGCTAATTGCAAACGCCCACATGGAAGAAGGTAAGAGCTGAAGGGACCCGATGCTGGCCTCCCCAATATCCTGAAAGACTGAACTGAACTAACATTCAGGAAGGCTCCTCAGAGCCCCCCCCCAAAAAAATTGATGTAGCAAGCGGTGGTTGTCTTTTCCTGCGGCCTGTCTGGCACCCCCAGCTGGTAACCCTGAAAGATAGGCCATCGTTTTGCATTTTAATATGATACCGTAGTTTGCTATTCGCCCCACCTCTTTTTGTTTTTTTCTAAATCCTTTTGCACACCGCCTTGGGTCCATGTATGCAGGAAGGTGGGAGTTAAATCAGTAGCCTAATTCTGCATATTCCCTAACCAGCACACGGTTGGTTTGCTGGGCTGAGGGATTCTTGGGAGATCATAACCTAAAAAAGTAACTTTTTCTGTCTGGTGACTTCCCTGTAAGCTTACATCAGGTGTGGCCAGAATCCCAAGCCCTGAGCGCTCTTCGTTTGGGGCGGAGGAGAAATGGGTTAGGGTTAGGTTTTTATTTTCTGGTTTTGGGAGTGTTTGGACCGCGATGCTACATTTCCCATTTCTACTCTTAACAGGGATAGATTGGCAGGTGCGGCCTCCAACCCCTGGCCTCCCTGCGCCTCAGAAACGGTCTCCGAACAGGACAGTTCGTTTCAACACCTCCATCGCCAACTTGGTGACCTTACGCGGAAAGGATGTACAAAGCGCGGATCTTGGTGAGAAACTGGACACAGTTGCAGTAGAGGTTTCCTCTTCTCCAGTTCAACCCTTTTCTTTATTCTCACAAGCTTCCAAAGTTCTCCAGGGTAGCTAGGAAAACAATTCTTATCCAGTGGTTCCCAGATGTTCTTGGACAACAGTTCCCATAAAGCCTTCCCCATTAGCCATGCTGGCCAAGATTTCTGGGAATTGTAGTCCAAGGACATCTGAGGACCCACGATGGAAAGCCACTGTTCTAACCTAATCAAGGCTTGGAGACAGCTGCGTTCTAACCAATGAATTAACATTGTTATGCCTCCCCCTCAAATAAAATAATTCGTTTTAATTGCCAATAAATCATTAAATTAAAGAAGATCATTTGGGATTCTTAAATCATTTAGGCCAACCCAAAAGTCTCATCTCCGCATTCTGTGGGGGATAAGAAGGACTCAATGAACTCCTGCCGAAGAACAAGATCCGCAGCTCAATCACCACCACCGAGAAGGCCCCGTCTCTTGCCCCTTGCTGATCTCACCATAACTATTCCCCCTTTGTGCTCTTCAAAAGGTCAGAGAGAAAGAAGGATGGTTAAAATATATAACCGCATATATGATTTTGCTTGACGTCCCATTTTGTGGATCACCCTAGGGAGTTTTCAAGAGCCTGCTCTGTATACTTCCTGGCTCAGCCCCCGAGAGGCCTTGACTGTCTGGAAGACCCCGAGAGCTTTTAACAAATACGAGAAATCGGCATCGTTGGTCAGCAACAGCCAGTTTTTGCTGAAGCCCCTCGACAGCGTCGTGGGGAAGGCCTGGAAAATGTTTGCTTCCAAGTAAGTGGGAGAAAGCAGAGCCTTTGCCGGGGTGTGTGTGTGTTAAGGTCGCAGAGTCTCAGCCTTATCAACACACACAGTGTGTGGAAATGAGCAAGTGGGGAAATACGGATCGATCTTGAACCAGTTGGTCGGTGGGGAGCCTTCATGAAGTCCTGTAGTTTGGAACAATAGGGAGAAAATCAGATTTGCCTCATCTCCGAGGTTTAAAACGGAGTGGGTGTCATCTACCTTCAGTACGTTTCCAACTAGGGAACAGATAAGTCACAAATGAAGTCCCCTTCCTTTTGTGTCATTGACTCACCGCTCGTTTGTACTGGATCGAGGCCTCTCGCTTACCCACTGTTTTTTTATTTTGTTCCACACAGGGCATATGTTCATCAATACGCAAGATTTGGGCTGGAAGAAGATGATTTTCTGGACAGTTTCACAACTCTGGAACAAGTGATTGCCAGTTACGCTGGCCTCTGAGTCCCACTGTTGGCTAGCTTGAGGCCGGCTTTGCCTTGGCCGATCTAAAAGCCCAGGATGGGGGGTGAAACAGCTGTGACATCTCTCAGGAGGTGTGCAGACGTCAGATGTAAAAGGTCTGCATTGCTGAAGCGATCGAGAAATGGAGTGAAGCGGAGCCTAAACAAAAGGGCAAAAGCTAGTGTCTTCGGAAGGCACCCCATCTCCGACGTCGCTCTTTGGTTTAGCAAAGGAGAATCTGGACACACGAAGCTCAAGTCCTGGCATCAAGGCTGTGCCCCCCTCCAGGGGAAGAAGTTGGCACTGAAACACGAATTTGTTTCCATGGGCTAATCGGATCTCTGTTGACGTGAGAGTCGTATCCGCCCAAAGAGCGCAAAAAGACTCTGGCTTGGGGCCAGACCTTTCAGGGTGGGAAACCTCCGAAGGGATTAAAGATCTCCCACCTCAATAGCACGTAGTTCTCACTTATTGTATATTTTGGAAATGAAATAAACCTGTTTTATAGCAACACCCTCTTTGTGCTGGAAGGAAGAACAGACGTCCGCCTAGCTTTACAGACAATTTGTAGCTCGTTGTTAAGGAGGCCTGGAGCAGCCTCCAAGTAAATTACGGCATTTCCTCCCCATACCAATTACATGGGGGGGGGGTGAAGTCGGAAGGTGGTGCCTTACCATGCTGAACACACCTGGTCTCAAAAGTCAAGCAGGGCCAGGCCTGGATGGATTTGTAAGGGAGGCGGCTAGAGAACGGAATGGATTATGGCTTCTTGGTCCTCCAAGAAGTCCACTATTTGAGTGTTCGTTCAGAGAATGGAAAAAGAAGATAATCACAACACGTACCACAAGGTGGCACCATTGTCTGGCCTGCATAACAACCCTTATCCATTGAAGATAGATTCTATCTCACCATCGCTGATACAGAAAGCCGGCAAGGGTAAGGTGGGAGAAGCCATTGCCGCCATCATCGCCATCTTAGAACTGGAGAGGTGGAGTCCAACCCCAGTCAAGGACCTCCAAAGTTCCAGTTTGGGACCATAATTGCCTTTGGTTCTTGGTAAATATTAGTGTAGCTCCAGCAGAATGCATAGCCTAGTATAGAATCAAGGGGGGAAAGGTCTTTGCCCCGAGTAGCTTACAGTACAGTATCCATTTTAGTCGAGGGTGCTGTCAGCCTTGCTCTCTGCCTGGTCTGCTTGACAGGAGAGGAGAGAAAGGGACGCGGCGATTCAGGATGTGCCGCTGAGCTGTTTACGGTTCCTCCCTCCTATCCGAAGTCCTGTCGGGTGGGCCAACCATTCCTTAACAGGGTCCTGGCCTTAAGCAGCTCGGGGGAGAAATGGCGACAAAGCAGTGTTGATGGGCAGGAGTTTACAGACAGGGTTGGCCCAAGACCTTTTGCTCTCGGTTGTTGGACCTTCAGCGCCGCTCGGGGGACGGTCCCTTCCGCCTCCCGGAGAGCAGCAGGCTCCTTGGGAAGCTTGCAGGAGGGACCGCTGCTTCTTCTGACACGCCACTTGGGAAGCTTGCAGGAGGGACCGCTGCTTCTGACACGCCACTGCCGCCTCCCGGCCAGCGCTGCCTGAGGCAGCTGCTTCGCTTTGCCTAAGGGCAGGGCCTGCACAGTCAGGAGGACGGAGTCTTGAAAAGACTGACCGGACAGGAGAGACGGGTCCCTTTCCCCATTTTGCGCTTGTCTGCCTTCACCTCCTTGCCCCTCTTCTGTACTCTTAGCTTCTGTGCCTTTTCCTCACTTCTCTGATGAGCAAAATGGCCTCTCTCTTGTTTCCAGCCAAACTCGAAACAAGAGTTGTGTCTTGCACTGTGTGTTGTGTTATCCTGACAAGTTGCTCCCGAGCCGTGGCAAACTGACGACTCCTTGACGTCCGAAAAAGTCTCCCCCTCAACCCTTCTTTCTGCCTTCATGCTCTGCCTTCCCTCATGGAGTCGATCCATCTTTGACTTGGCCTTCCTCTTTTCCTGCTGCCTTCAACTTTTCCCAGCATGCCCTGCGCTTAGGAATTCATGTCGCCGTGAGTCCCACCGGACAGAAGCACAAAAGGGAGCTCTTTTTAAGCCGGCTGCCCTCCAGTTTCAACACAGCCTGGAATTTCCCAAGGGAAAGAATGAGCATAGATATACTTAGCAAATCTCCTTATGTTATGCCACCTTAGGCTGAGAGCTTTCAGACAAGGCAAAGGATACTGGTGTAGAGACGGAGGGAACCTGTATGAAGAGCAAAATACAGTAGCGGCCGGTGCTCAAGTTCCCTTTTCCTAAACAAGTAATTCTATTTGAAGGACTGGGGTCTTTGGGAAGCCGGTCTTTCCTAAGCCTGTGCCAGCCAGACACATCGGACCTCATCCCGCTCTTTAGCACTCAAAAGCTTCAACACTTTAAAGAGAAAGAGAGGCCGACGAGGCTAATGGTGTGCAAACAGGTTTGGAGGAACGAAGTTGATAAAACGGTTGGGCAAGGCGCCACATTAACTTGCCTTACACGCAACCGGAGACCTTTGCTCTACCTCATTGTCGCTCTCCAAGTGCCTCCGGTTACATCCGCCGAGTGACCCCAGAGGTCATAAATTTCTGAGCACGTCACTCTTTTCGCCCTTTTTAAAACCATTCCCTTACGAAAGGGCCAGGCTTCTGGACGGCTCTCCCCTGCTGTTGAGCGGCCCAACCGCAGTCTATTGCTCAACCCTTCCTCTCCCCTCCTCTGCATCTCTCCAGAGGGATAATATAAATGCATTTGGTCCTTCCCAGCAATCCCAGCCAGGCGGGTCGCTTTGCCTTTCATTCAAACAATAAATCTATCGCTTAGAAAATAAGAGAAAACATGTAAACCACGCTCGGCCTTTCCTCCCGTTTTCTAGCAAGCGGGATTCAATTTTTATTTTTGCTGCATTACATTTGGGACTCCTGATTTAAAAACAAACACGGAAACCCACGTCACTGTGCCTAAAAGTTGCTCTTTTAGGGGGGAAAGCCTTAGAGAGTTTTAAAATCCCTTTTGTGCCTGACAATTCTGTCGTGTTAAGGCGTGTCCCTTGGAGAAAAGGCGATGGAAACCATCCCTGGAGGTAGAAGAGAATTAGAAGACCCCCCTCCACCCTCTTTCTAGAGCTGTCTGGAGAGCTCAGTGAGTTGGAGGTCGCGCTGCGGAGCCAGAGGTTGCCAGTTCGATTCCCCCACGGTGCCTCTTGCGAGGCGAGCCAGCCTGGGGTGGCCTTGGGCGAGCGGCGCAACAGTCCTAGGGCACCACCTCAAGAAGAAGTAGGGAACGGCCAACCACTTTTGGCGTATTCTCTACCTGGAAAACCCTGGAAAAGGTCGCCGTAAATCAGAACAGACTCTACGGCACCCAATTATTGGAGCTGGCTAGAGAGCTCAGGGGCTTAGGCATCTGCCTCTGAAGCCAGAGGTTGGGAATCTGATACCACCACCACCACCCCCAGGTGCTTTCCGCACGGTAGGGCTAGCCTGCGTGTGCTTTGGGCAAAGTTTCACTGTCCCCGGGCGCCCCCGGAAGAAGGGGGAATGGCAAACTGATTTTGTTTGCTCAAAGAACGGGCTTTCCCCCCCCCCCTTGGCTTCCTACTTCCTTAACTCAAAGCGTGAGAGGCTTTTGTGTGTGAGACGTGGGTGGAAAGATCGAAAGGGGTTGCGAAAGGTGGAGGCACTATCTAGGTAAGGAATGACTCACAGGAAGACAGAGAGAGAGAGAGAGCGGGCCAAGAGAGAGGACAGTTTTTATGCAAAGCGCTGAGCAATAAAAGGAGCAGCAAAAACACAGGATCGTGTTATCAGAGGCTAGGCTGTTGCTTTTATTATTTTTTTCCCCTCTCATTTTTTTTTTAATATGAACAGGTGCAGGTTAGAATAGTACAGGCAATCTGTATGTTTTCTTTTTTTCCGGTGGCTTATTTTAAAAGCCCTCTATAAAGGGCGGCGTGGGAGCGTTATGTGGGAGGCCAACAGCCAACCCTGTTATCTGGATGAGGTGGGGCGTGAGCAGCAAGGGGTTCTTGACCTTGTCCCCAGAGGTACGGCAGGCCCGGGGCAGCCGTTGGCCATCGTGAGCTGCTGCCAAACGGTATGAGTCTCTGAAATCTTGAAGTTACTCCTCTAGGGAGTTCTAGTAAAGTGAATGATGCCCTCCCACCTTTATTATCTTAATTTAAAAAAAAACTATCAATTTTCTTTTTCCTAGGAAAAGGTGGCTCACATTCTCCTTTTTCTTTGCCCTGGTGGGGAGCTCAGACTCGTCCCTTGGAGCAAACCCGGGTCGTTACAGCTCTGGAGAGCAGGATTTTGAAAGATGGTGTGAAGCCCGTTGGTCCAGCTGTGTATATATGTAGGGCTGTATGCACGATGATCCTACATTTGGTGGAAAATCCAGAGGGTCAACAGGAGCTGTTCCCTTTCTGGAGGCCAGTGAGATTCAACCCAGTCTGATCGTCCTCTGTTTGAGTGAAAGGAACGCCCTGTTGTCCTCTGCCTCTGGCAGCAAAATGTCTTGGGTCTGCATTTGCTGGTGTTACTCCCAGCCAGCCCTTCTCTCCAAAGCCCCACTAAAGATGGGATCGGCCTGCCTTCATAGCTTAGATTCCTCTTCCACCCTTTTCCTGCCATGCCTGTTCTTCCAACTGCATGCACAGCTGCCGGTTCCAGCCACCCCCTTCCCCTCTGGTGACTTTTCTCCCGGGTTAGTCATTCAGATCCGTGACTCAGCAAAGGCAGGTAACCTTTCCCACGATCATCATCGCTGCCACCACCACCACCACCGGAGCAGCTGCCTCTAAGGGTGTGGTTTCATCTCTGTTCTGCAGAAAGGCCAGAAAGACAATGGTGGAGTGGGAGGGAAAGCCATCATCCGGGAATATAACAAAAATAATAAAAATTAAAAGATTGGTAGCATCTAAAAGACAAACAGGTTTATTTCCCTGTGATTGCGATTTGCTCCCACAAACACACACAAAATGCCCACAATCTATAATTCCCAAGTTTCTAAGCACGATTGGTCCTTGTGCAGAGAACTGTTCGCTGCATTTAATTCAGGAGCTGCGATTTACATCTATTGTGTGTGTCCAAATCAACTGCACTACCATGGCTCATCTAGCTGCATATTGTCAACTCTGACCGGCAGCTGTAGTGATCCCTTTTCCTAGGCCTATCTGGAGATCCCTGGTGGTCATCCAAACCCTATCTGCTTAGGTTCCAAAATCAAATGAGATCTGATGTGTTCTGGACGGTACGACTGGAAAGATAGGTACAAAGGCGAGTAAAGCAAACATTGGCCAAATAACTGATTCGGACCCATCCCATTAGAACAGGGCTATTCACAAAGATACCGTATATTACTGCTCAAAAATAAAATTCTACTCTCAACTCCTATGAGAATTACACTAAGTTTTTTAGAGGGATACTGAGAAACCCAGGATGGCGTGGGGGTGGCAGGCGGTTTCGCTAATCAAGAAATCCTGGCACTCTGACCCTTTGTGCCCTG